AGGCAGGGCAAGGGCAACTAACGAGGGTCGATATTATGCTCAAACGTCAATATTATTAAATATAAATGCAACGAGAACAACAACAACAACAGCAATACAGCTACCAAAGTTTGACTGATGAAAAGAGCCGCGTTGCCTTATGTTATTTATATTTTGTTTTTAACTTTTTGTTATTTGCCGTGAGTTTTAAATGCGGACGCGACATTGCGTGATGAACAAACGTCGAGCATTTCTCAATGGGATCAACGGGATGATTGTGTAGGGGTACGCGATGGGGGATGTCCGGGAGGGGAAAGCCGAACACCGAACACCGAACATCGAAAACCGAAATGAAATGACATGACGTGTTGTTATTAAGCCGCATAATCAAAACAAAAACAAAGCCCGAATTTTTATGAATGAGCCAAGAGTTTTCGGCCTGCCTGGCTGGCTGACTGGCTAGCTGGCTGGCTGGCCTACTAGAAACGATCCCGGAATTTCAGGCCCAAAAGGCCACTCCCCGATCGGAAAGGAACAGTGGGTTAAGGTCTCTTTGCTTAAGGATTGGTAATTAAGTAGAAAACATTTGGAATAAATTAGCTTTCATAGGTCTTAAAATAAGTTTATAAACTAGCTAAATAGAAGTAATGTTAGGAAATAACCTTATTTTCCCATTAAATCTTTAATTTTATCCAAAAAAAGTAGATTAATCTTTCGCATTATCAAAGTTCTTAAAGAGGGCGATATAGTAACTCTCAAAACTACAAAATATATCGCATATCTGAACTCATCTAAACTCCATAACAGGCTATAGGACAGCTAATAGTCCTGATTTCCAACCACTGTGCATCTTCTTAAGACCCATCGAATCGACGTCGGCAGCTTCAAGGCGATTAGCGAAAAGCGGTAAATGTTGTGTTAAACCTCAATTAAGAGCCAGCGGGGGCACATGGGGAACTGAATATCTGGGGATCAGGGAATCAGGGAATCAAGAGTGCCCATGGTGGAGGATAGGGATCTCGACCAGGTAAACGACAGGCAGGCACCACCGCCAAACAGGATGTTAAACTCTTTCGGGCAATTTGAATTCGCTTTGACTGACGCCACACGCCAGGGTCAGCTTGAGAGGATTTACGATCTGAGTCCGAACTGCTAAATGATCTCACACAGGCGATGACGACGACGACGACGACGAATGGCGCCTAGAAGGAGCATCATGGCAAACCTTTCTGTATTTCGAAATATTCCCCCACCCTGCCTCACTTATGAAGTCCCCCCCCCCAACCCCTGTTAAGTGCTTTTTAATTTGTTTGCATTCGAAATCTGAATTCCCTGTGTTCCGCTTTTATCGGGAATCAAGTGAGCTGAGTGCAATTACGACACCTTCAAAAAGCCAAACAACCCAGGATACAACGGAGGTTGCTCATCCTCAAGGCACTTAAGCGCATCCCCAGGGGGGTTTCTCTTCCGCCCACCCATCCAGCCACCCACTTTTCCAGCCACTTTTCACCATCCCCGCACACAACGACTTCCCATTACCAACCATGGCGGGTGGTTGGATGGCTGCCTGGGTGGGTGGTGAGTGGCAATGGCTAATTAAAATTACTTTCCACAGCGACACTCGGAAATTTACTGGATGTGGATGTGGATGTAGATGTGGGGGAGGGGGAAACACACACACAAGTCAAGGGGTTGGGGGTCACGTTAATGGTCAGCTGGTCAGTTTGCAGCCACTCTTAATGAGCGTCCCCAGTCATTTGCTTGGGAACGAGACCTTCTCGCACCGTCAACTGGGTATTTGTCATTTTTAATGTCTTTTTAAACCACGCGAAAGGTGAACCACACTCTAGCACCGCAACGGGCTTAATGGATGTCTTGTACGCCTCGACTGGCCCATCCGAACTGGCCTTTCACCTGAGCTAGCCTCCTGAAAGTTGGTACTCAATCTGAATTACTCTAATGGGTTCATATAGTTTAGGTTCTGATACGATATGTTGCTGTATATGGATTATAGCTTAGGTTATACTATAGGAACTACCAGCTATATCATTGTGAAACTTGGTACTTGGGTTTTATTACCCTTAACCTTCGCTATCATTTAGTTCTGGACAGCTCTGTGGAGGTTTTTAAGGAACCGTATCACTTTCATCTATGGTAACTTGGGATCTCCTTAAGATATTGTTCTAAAATTTGGTACTCCGATTATTCTAATCTTTAAGATAGTTATAGTAAAGGTTTTAAGAAGATTTCTTAAAAAGCTTTTGAATCTCATGAAGAATCTTTCCCCCAGTTAGGGTATTCCCATGTCGTACTTCCAGTTCGGAACCTTCCCACCAAGCTCATCTTTAATTAACTTATTTCGCAGCTGTGTATTATATTTCGCTTTGTAGCCGCTGAACGAGCGGCAAGTGCCGTTAGTTGGATGCCGACAAAATGGCGGACCCAGCTGGAAAATGAAAATACGTTGAATATCCGTGTGATTTTGGTTGATTATGTGAGTGTATGTGTGTGTGTGGGAGAGTGGCGAAAGTCAAGTTGCCTCATTAGCAGGCAAAAGGAATGCCAAAAGATAAATTATTGTCACATTTTTACGGGAATCTCATTAACGGGGTGGTGGCAATTTCCCTCTATGTGGAAAAGGGGAACGAGAGAGAGAAAGAGCGGTGATGGATGGGGAAATCACTTGAAGATGGATAGGCTTAGGGGAGTTCCAATTAAAATTAGAACACGTGCAGTAAATGACTAATTATGATGAATTTATATACATTTTTTGGGAACATGTGCTATTTTGAATAAATCACATTTAGTTTTAAATTTGTAGATAAATATTTATCTACCACTGTACCACTTTAATCCTTATCTTGGTTCTTATTATATGGAAAATGGTAGCCTCTTGCTAGGAAAACATCTTCTTAAACACACAAATCCTATATAAAAAGTAGGCTTTCTATAGAGTCTTACTTTCTAGAGCCAATTTCCTCACCTCAAATAGTAAAAACAACAAATAAGAATCACATTTCTTCTATGAAAAGTTATAAAAAATAAATCCAAGACCCCCATTTAATGTAATATTACTTAATATCACCAGCAAACCCATCAATTCAACCGCCTGAATATGTTTTTACCCCAAGAAAAACTGAAATTGCAGCCTTTTGATCCCGGTCACGTCTTCGCTTTTCCTGCCGCCGTTCGATCGTTTGTCAGGTCGTAAATGCTTGGGCCATAGCTATGATTAGGTGAGTAAATGGCATTCCTGGAAGCGTTTGGCGACAGGAACTGCTGGACATACCAAAGGCAAACAGTAATTCCCGACAATTGACCATTGCGGGGCCATTTTGAAAAGCTAACCATACGGTAAGCATGTGTAGTAGTCGGAGCATCCGCCTCCAGGCGCTCAAAGACGGCCTCCTCGAGTAGCTCCTGCCCACCGGAGAGAGATCCCCGCCGTAATATACAACAGCTTCCCCCTCCCCGGAGACCCATTCACTTGCACATTAGGCAGCAAATTGGCATCGATACAAGTCTAAGAAGTAAACCAGAGAAGTGGCTGGAAAGAGAGCGCACTATCGCGGCGAGAAAGAGAGGGAAGGAGCGTGCAGCATTTAACTGCTGCCAATTTACTGTTTAAATGCCAAACAAAAAGTGTTAACAAGCGCAAAAATAACAAAAGACCAACAACAACAAAGTCCCAAAGAGCGAGAGAGCGAGCCTCAGGCGGTTCCATGCCATCCTATGACAAGCCTTAAGCCAGAGCGAGACAGTCAGATGCCATGGCCGCGTTGCCTCTCGCTCACGGAACCAGTTTAAGGGGGCGTGGCCTGGCCACCAAAACAGGGTTGACAGCATCCCATCCATCCATCTTGCCATCCGGCTATCTGTCCATCAGCTACAACAGCAACAGTAGCCGGAGCAGCTGCCCTGCTGCCTGCCATAAGCGTGTTGAGTTTCCAGTGCTTGCTATAAAAAGTTTATAGCAAGTCATGGCTGGGGAATATTCTTTGACTATCCTTAAAGAACTTGACTTTTAATAAGTATATCTTTAAGAAAATTGGTATTGGGTTGTTATTAAGCGAATGCTTTCTTTTGGTAATGGTTTTAAGGAGTTTTTTTGGATAATTCTGATAATTCTATTAAAAAACAAATTAAGATCTTGATATATTATGTATACTGTTAATGATTATAGTCATTATCTCATTGGAAACTAAGTTATCTCCATCTATTATCTATAATTTGATTAAAATATTTAACAAAAGCAATGACTACTTCCTTCTAGCCTTCCCACCCTTAAACTCCAATTTAACCCTTAAATAAAATTGAAATATTTTTCTAAAAAGAATAACAATAAATCATATCGCCCATCCATTTCACCCCTAAACCATAATTTAACCCTTAACATAACAAAAACGTTATTTAAAACTTCCTGAACTTCAGTACAAATGCAAAACTAATAAATATTTGAAAAATATGATTAAAATTTGAAGAGTTTTCTTGATAAAACAACTTAGCTTACGAAGATTTTTCTAATTTATAAAAATTAGACAAACATTTCAGTGACTTAACTCAGATTACGCCCTTTCAAAAGAACTTAACCCATAACTATTATGTTTAATATAAAGTTAGTTAGTTACTTGCCATAGCCAAGTCCACCACGCGCCATAAAAACAACCGTTAGATGCGCGGCCATTGCCGGTGGAAAAGCCACCACACTCGCACACTCTTGAGTGCCGCTGATTGAAGCCTAATGAATGTCAATTGCTGCCAATTACGACCAATAAATGCGGGCAATAAATGTGGGCAGCTAGGCGAGTGCGAGCGAGAGGGCAACGCGGGGCGACAGAGAGGCTAACTCACCACACTGCCACTTGGCCAGGTCAGTGGGCGAGAAAGAGACGACGGCAGGTGGCGCAGCTGATGGGAAGCAGTGGCTCAACTGGTTTTTGCTGTTGCTGTTGTTGCTGTTGCTGCTGCTGCTGCTGCTGGCAGTTGCTGTTGCTGGCAGCAAGTTTCAGTTTCGGTCGAAAGCCAAAGGCGAGCGGTTGTTGCTCCGCTTTTAAACACCCAAACAGTGCGCGGACAGCAGCAACATTTCGTTAAAACTCAAGCTGGGCTTGGAAAAGTCAATGGAAAACAAAAACTAATAAAAAAGCAAAAGAAAATCTACGAAAATCAGTAGAGAAAACCCAGTGACAGCAGCAACATTAAAACTTTACTTAACAACGAAGAAGAAAAAGTGCTAAAAACTCGCGTTGCACATTCTAGTTAGATATTTTTTTTGGGTGCAAAGTGCAGGTGCAGCAGTCGGAGTCGTCGGCTAACCACACATGACCACAATGCCACCGGAAATGTCCGCAACAACGGCAGCTCCCGTTGGTAGTGCACCGAGTGCCACCGCTCATCATCCCGCTGCCGTCGGCGGCGGTATGCCGCGTCCAGCCTCTCCGGCCGTCGGCAGCAATACGACAACAGCAACGGCAACAGCGGCCACAACGGCAACGCGATCCCGTTTCATGATCACCGATATTTTGGCAGGAGCTGCGGCTGCATCGGCGGCAGCAGCAGCAGCCGCCGCCGCTTTAGCAGCCGCCTCTTCCGGCGGTGGGCGTGGCAGCCCAACGGATTCGGAAAGAGAACAATCCTTGGTGGCCGCACATCATCCTCATCAGCAGCAAGCGCATCATCATCATCACCAACAGCAGCATCAGCATCAGCAGCAGCATCAACAGCAGCAGCAACATCAGCAGGCTGCCTTGCAGCAATACATCGTGCAACAGCAGCAATTGCTGCGCTTCGAGCGTGAAAGGGAAAGGGAGCGGGAGCGGGAGCATTATAGGGAACGGCATTCGCCACCTGGCAGCAATCCCTATGCCCACCACCCCATGCCGCCTCACCTGCTAGCCCACTTTCCGCCCGCCCACTATGCCGTTCTGCAGCAGCAGCAGCAGCAGCAGCAACAGCAACAGCAGCAGCAACATCCCCATCCGCATCATCTGCAGCTGGAGAGGGAACGATTGGAGGCACTGCATCGACATGGTCATGGCTTGCCCGGTGACCCTGCCCAGCATTTGAGCCACTTAAGCCACCTGAGCCACCAGCAACACCACTCCCATCTGCATCATCCCATACACGATGAGCGATCCCGATCGCCTCTTATGCTGCAGCAACTGGGCAGTGCCGGTGGCAACAACAACAATAACAACAACAGCAGTAGTAATAACAACAATAACAACAACAGTGGCAGTGCCAACAGCATCGTCAACAGTGGCAGCAACAACAACAACAACAACAATGGCAGTGGCAATGGCAACATGTTGCTCGGAGGAGCCGGCAGCAGCATCAGCGGCGATCAGGCCAGCACCATCGATGACAGCGACAGCGATGATTGCGGTAAGTCGGTTATATAGTGTATATATAGTTACTTGATCTGAAGTGATGTTTGGGGAATTATATAGAAGTGTGATAAGATTGGGATTTAGTCTTTATCGTCTTGAAAAGAGCACAAGAAATTATTTGATTGCAGATGATAAGGGTAGAATGCTATTGAGATAGCTCTCTTTTTTGTTATGAATAGGTAGACCAATGTAGCTAAAACCTTAATCAAATTCCTATGATTAAAGGTTGCCCTTAATATGTACAACTTAGCTTAAGCTATTCCGGAGAAATCAAGCCTAGTTAGTAAGCAATTTTTCCGGTTTCTCAATGAATGAGCTTCTTAAACTCAAAACTAGTTAGTAATTAGCAGAACAAATTAAAGGATTTAGCATTACTTAAGTAACTAATTGGTAATTTATGTATTTGAACTTAATTAAAACCAAAACGGCTTCAAGATTTTGCATTACAGAGCTGAAGTTCAAGTTTATAATCAATCAAATTACAGAAAGGAGTTCCTAATTATGACTTTTTAAAGATTTTAACAAGTTTCTACATACCAACAGCTATCATAATCCTTTCCTCTTCACATATATTTAATTTTTATTTATAAAAACCTATAAAGTTCCTTTTAATTTAGTAACCAGAGTGAGAATACATTCCAAAAATCCAAAAACCAATTTACACCTTTCCACCAATGACCCTTGACTTCGCACCACTTTAAATTTACGATTTTTCGCCTGCAACCGAGATATATCATATATATTGAGTGCCAAGCGTGGTTGTTGTTGATGTTGTTGTTGTTATTCGTGTTGTTGTTGTGGCTGTTGGCTAATAGATAACGGCCAACAACAACCGCAACAACAACCACCATAAATTGTGTGGCTCGAACGAGGAAAATGCTGGCTTGATAGCCCAAGACTCTCGAAAGAAAAAACACACAGGTGAGTCTCCTCAGTCTAAAGGCAGGTGTCTCTGTGAGTCTCTCTCTTTCTCTTTCGCACCCCTTGTTAGTTGTCTCTCTTTTTGGTTGTTGTTTTTATTCAATCTCCCCTCAGTTTCTTGGCCAGATTAACCAAGTGTTGGGCTTATTTTCAGCTTAACTCCAAGTGGAAACTGTCAACGGAATACCCTTGGCAGCCACACCCCCCGCCCTCGCCTCCTCCCTCGCTTGGCGGGCAACAATTTAATTGATTTCGCTGCTAGTTTAAATATAGTTTGTTGCTGTTATTGCCGTTTTCCCTCTCGTTAAGTGCTTTTAAACGTTATGCAAATTATGACAAATTACTATTAAATAGCAGTAATCGTGCGTTCTCAAATGATTGCCTGCAATACGATTTAGAAAGGTCGAGAATATATATATCTATATAGTTTTGGATGAAGAACATGAAAAATGTTGAGTTTTTTCTCTGTTTTAATAGATTTCCTACCTTTTTTTGTACTAAAATAATTTAAAAAATGATTTAGCAATATTTTCTACCACCATTTAACTCCCCACAAAGGTCAATAAAATCTAATCTGTGCTCCCAAAAAACACCCAACTCTAATTTTAGTTATTTTAATAATTGCTCATTCTCTGTTTGATCTTTTTTTTTTAAATGCCAAATTACTAGCCCCTGCCCAGACCAATTTCGTTGTCGTTTCAATCAAAAGCTTCCCCAATTTCATGCACAATTTTCACATTTCTACATACATATTTCTTTTCGTTTTTTTGACTTGTGCCAAAATCAATTAACAAATTAAACTATAACCGAACAGCCAGAGAGATTTCACCCTCCAAGGGTGACCCCCTTCTGTGTTTTGACATCCCGCTGTCAATTTTTCCAAACCGAAGCTGCCTCGATTTGAGCCACAGGCCAGGCAAGCGGTGCCACACAGAAATAAAACTAAAGAAATCAAAATCAAAATTAAATTTAATCTGCTGGCTGGGCAGTCGAGCCAACCCACACACAGTCTCTGAAAGAAGTATATGAACACCCATATTGACATTCGGGCTTTCTCCGCGTCCGTCCCGCTCCTTAAGAGGGCCCACGCTGGGTAAGACAACAGAAACTAAGGGGAACTATGGGAAAGGGAAGGGTCTAGGCTCAAAGATCGAAGGTTCTTATACTCTAGGTTTGAAATTGGAAAAGATTTTGTCAAGAATTTGACTAGAAAGTGCCATTAGGGCTAGGAATGTTATGAAAATATCTAAAATTATATAAAATTTACTTAATTTTCTTATTTTCTTAATTAAAAATAAGTGAAAAATAGAAAGAAATAGCTGATTGCCTGGTGAAAGAGAAGGATATATCCTCACTCGCGTGTCACTTGAGACGCGTGCGAGCGACAGTTGTTGCCTTGTCTTGCTCTTCCTTCTTCTCCTCTGCTTTGCTCGCCTTATTCTTTATCTTCTCCTTCTACTTCTGCCCTTCTACTTCTTAACCATCTCACCGAGGCGATCCTTGCTGGCACCGCGTTTGAAATTGACCCAAAAGCTTGTTCCCTGCCCAACGAACCGTACACTGATCGAAATAAAGTGGGGACTGCGAAAAATAATCACTGGATCAGGATCAGAGAGAGAGAGAGGGGGAGAGGAGGGGGCGAGACTCCTGCCACTTCAATGCCTTCAACGAGTGCCACAGGAAAAAAACACGAGTTTCCATATTGAAATTGATATTTTCGGGCATCATCTTTCACATATTTTGGTATTTGAGGAATGCCAGACTTTTGCTTTGGCTTCCAAGATCATATCTGTATATATATATATATATATATATATTTATGATCCGAAAGCAGGGCAGACGAAGCTCATCTACTTAATTCACATAATGTTTAATGGATATCCACGAAATTCACGTGCGCCACGAGAAACCAAACCAAAGCTAGCCAAGTTCGTTGCCCAAGTCTTTTGTTTCTATTTTGCGGTCTGCTTCTGCCTTTTTGGCTTTAGCTTCTTGGGCGCTTCTCTTTTTGTTATTTAACTTTTGATTGATATGGCTAATTCCCTGCTTTAGAGCTAACTAATGGGTGTAATAATGTAGTAGAATTTATTATTACAAAAATAACACAACTTAAGCAGAAATTATTTTCTATAATTTTTTAAACCAACTCTCAAAGACAAAATTCTCATTGTTGGCGTTAGGGAACTTAATGGTTCGTTGTTGATTTAGCAACATTTAATTTTCCGGGCATTTTCCGTGAAGGAAATGTTAAATCGCAGACCCAAACAGCCACAATAATAATTACAAATTATAATGCAGGTAACACGAAAAGCCAACAACCGTTATGTAAGCGCACTCGCTTCTCATGTTGCTGTTGCACTTGCAATGTTGCTATTGCTGTTGTTGTTGTTACTGCACTGCACTAAACGCCAACATTATCAAAATGTTGATAAACGTTTAGCACAAAGAGGGGTGAGGAGTAAAGAGAGGGGGCAGGGGCAGGGGCAGGCAGGAGACCTTCTCAAAGAACGCTGCTTTTATTCTTTAATTAAAATGCAAAAAGGCCAAATTGCGAATGTGTTGGTGGTTGGCTCTTCTTCTTCCCATGGTTACTGCCGTTGCGCAATTAAAATGCAAACACAAGAAAGAGGAAGACTAAAAGAAAGAGACAGCAGCACTAAAACAGACAGAGACAGAGGGGGAGGAAATAGGCGCTGCACACTTAAGCATGTTTAATACAGTTTAGCCACAAGCACTTAATTACAAATGCGAATGTAAAAACTGCATAAAGGGGGCTTTTAAGAGGGGGTGATACTATCTAAAAAGTACAAGCAGCGAATGCGAGGGGGTGGCGGGAAGGGGGGTGGCATACTACAAGCTCTGCAAGTGTGGAACAGAAATTGCGGAAATGCTTCGAAAGTCAAACTTCTTCTTCTTCTTCGGGGAACGGTTGTTAATGCATTTCAAAAAGGTGGGGGGACGGTAAAGGGGCTGAGGAGTGGGAGTCGGGAAAAGAGGAAGCCAGAAGGCGGAAGATGGGGGCGTGGCTGGCTCCAGAAAGTGCCTCAGTTATTAGTGAAGCATTCAACAAAGTAAAACAGATTTCTGGAAGACTTTCAAGCTCAAGTGAGCTCGAAAAAGATGCACACAGAGAATTTTCCTAGCTAACTTTTCAACTTTTCAGATTCCAATTCTATATCTTTCGATATGTTTAGCATTTTACCTTAACTTTTTAAAGGATAACCCTCAAGTAGATAACTTTTGACTAACTCATTTAAAAACCAAATCAAACAGCGACTTAAAATTCAGATCTTGAAGCCATAATGATGGCCACCTCATTAGGCCAACTTGCAAGCCAATGAAATACAGGTCGGGGGTTGGGGGTCGGTCATCCTTTAGCGGCAGTCTTCACTGTGCTGCACATCCATCAAAGTAATGCTGATAATTGTTTGCCGTTGTTGTTGTAATTTGTGCTCATAAACTGTTTAATTGCAAATTAGCAGAAGGTAGCAGCAGCAACGGCAGGAACAACAGCAACAAAGTTGCCACATGCACATGTTACTGTTGCCGCTGTTTGTTGCTCTTGCAAAGTTGCAACAGTTGCTGCTGCTGGTGCTGTTGCTGCAGTTGATCTTGTTGCATGTTGGCCGGCCATAAAAGAACGAAAAAGCGCGTAAATGTTGCAGAAAATTGCAAATATATGAGAGATGTCAGGGGGGATATGGCCAAAGGGGCCCTCTCTGAGAACAATAGGCATCTTGTCTTATCTAAAAATTAAGTACACAGAGCGAAATTTATAGATAGTACTTCTGAAGAAGAGTTTTAAAAATACAAATTTAAATTTCTAATTTCTATAATTTATATTTCCAGGCGGCAAGGACGATGATGGCGAGGACAGCTTGAAGAACGGCAGCTCGGCGAACGGCGACTCTTCGTCCCACTTGAGCCTGAGCTTGAGCAAGAAGCAGCGGAAGGCGCGTACCGCCTTCACGGACCATCAGCTGCAGACGCTGGAGAAGTCCTTTGAGCGGCAGAAGTACCTCAGTGTTCAGGATCGCATGGAGCTGGCCAACAAGCTGGAGCTGAGCGACTGCCAGGTGAAGACCTGGTACCAGAATCGCAGGTGAGAGCGGCTTGCTTTGTGGTTAAACATACAGTCCAGGGGGGAGGGTTGAGGTTTCAGGGGGCCTGAGTGGCTGGTAATCAGCGCCTTTAATGCGTTGCGCCCATTTCTTCGCGCAGTTTTCCAATAAAAATCCTCTTAATGGCTGCTTTTCCTCTTTTTTTTCCTGCTCTTCTGCATCCATCACCTTATCGCTGGCTGTGTTTTTTTATGCTGATTGCTTAATTTGCTGCATTTTGCGCTGCGAGTCGTTAAAAAACATTCTCCTCAATAAATGAGCCGTCTTATATATTTTTTTTATGTTTTGTATCTCTTTTTTTTTTTCTTTTTGGTTTGCCTTTTCTCCCAGTGCAAGTTTGTTGCCTAAGTCTTTCGTTTCGATCGCCGCCTTATTACGTTCGATCGCGTTTTATTTTCGTTTTTAATTATTGCCCAATGACTTGTCACAATTTCGAGCACAGAATGCTTACCACAACAATTGGGAATTGTGAATTGTGAATTGGGAGTAGGAGATGGCTGGCTGTGTGGTAGATGAGGAGCTGAGGAGCAGCAGGCCAACATCTTGCTTGCCTGACGGCGCAAAACCCAACCGGATATGACTGTTGGCTGTCTGTGAATTCTCCAAGGGGGTAGCGGGTCTTTTTTATACTTTATTTCTTATTTATTTTTAGATGTTTCAAGATTTTTATATCTTCACTAAGCTCAGTTCTTGCGGAAGTTTGCGGAATTTATTAAGATAAATACAAACTTTTGTATGGAAAGTCTGTTAAGATGAAAATTTGTTTAAACTTCACTTATTGAAGGGCCATAAATCCTTTATACATCATTTTAGCTTAACACCTAATCAGGTCCTGCATTTCTTAATCAAAATCCTTGATAAAAATTAAGGATATTTCCCATTTCTAATCGAATTTCCCCTCTTGCAAGGCCTGACAGAACTTCAATGAAATAAATTTAAAATGAAAAACAAACAGAAACCTTAGGCTGTCATAACCCCGCCCGAAAGTCAACTCATGATATCTCCCATTAGGCCAAAACACTTCACAGCTGCTCTGCGCTCTATCCTTACGATGAATGGGCAGAAAACGAAGCAAAAAAACATTGTAAAAAGAACGAAATAAACGAGCCTGACCTGGTTCTAGTTCTAGTTTCGGTCGAGGTCCTCCTGGCGCCTCAGACAATTAAAGGATTTGCCAAAAAAGAAGGGCGGGTCGCTGCCAATTAGGCCTTACTTTTCGGTTTTCAGTTTTCAGTTTTTCGTTTTCGGCTAAGAGTATTTCCAATTTCCCTTACTTTTTTTTTTGTACATTTTTGGTGGGCTGGCAGAAGATTAATGACAAAACAATTAAGTGCGAAATATAAACAGTCGGGGCGGAATCCTCGAGGCCGCTCGGCGGGATACTGTGGCAGGAGAGGGCTCGGGTGACTCGGCAATACTGGGCCATGATTAATCGAGAGGATGAGGATGAGGATGAGGATGGCTTCCTCTGCCTTTTACAGTCGCTTCCTTAAAACACTCGTAAAAGAGATTAAAAATTAAGAAGAAAGAATTTCCTTAAAAAATTTTACTAAATTTGTTTCTTAAATTTTATCTCATTTGCAGAACCAAATGGAAGCGTCAGACTGCCGTTGGCCTGGAGCTGCTAGCCGAGGCTGGAAACTATGCCGCCTTCCAGAGGCTGTATGGCGGTGCCACGCCCTATTTAAGCGCCTGGCCGTATGCGGCCGCCGCTGCCGCCCAATCTCCCCACGGTGCCCCCATTGATATCTATTACCGTCAAGCGGCAGCCGCCGCTGCTCTACAGAAGCCCGCCCTGCCCGCCTCGTACCGCATGTATCCGACGAGTATGCCGCCAGGTATGGCTTTGCCCGGTATGCCCGCTCCCCCGCCCCCTGGCGCAGCTCCGATGCTCAGTGGTTACTATGCTGCTGCAGCAGCAGCCGCCGCTTCTGCTGGCGCTCAACAACAGCAGCAGCAGCAACAGGCGCCGGCTGCCTCCCGCTCGCCAGCAACTAGCCAGAGCGCCAATAGTGAAGCGGACTGCGAGCGGACCAGCAGCAGCAGTCGCCATCGTCTGATCACGCCCAGTCCGCCCTTAAATCCAGGCAGTCCGCCGCATCGTGAGCGGCTCAACGAGGAGGAGGACAGGGAGCGAGACGAGGAGCGGGACAGTGAACGAGAAAGGGAACGGGATGAGGAGGATGACGAAGAGCTGGCCCTGGAGGTCTGAGGATCCTCTTGAGCAAAGATAGCCCTCCCGCCCACAGCTGGATCTCACAAATTTGTCTAAAGAATTAATCGAGTGGGTGGTGTGATGGTGGATATATGGTGGACGAACTTCTCCTTTTTTTTTTGGCTTAAACTAATCCGAAATGTTGTAAAAATAGTAAAGTAGAGGGTTAAATTGAAGAGGACACAGAGTGGGTTAAAGATTTTCAAAGACATACAGCTGGGTTCAAAATAATAGCAGTTCGAAGTCTTAAAATTTGTTTTAGATGATTTTTTGAGGCATTTAAAATGCCACAAACACCTTAAAGACTTTCCAAATTTAAAAAAAATACATAATTGAAATCCATAATCTTATTTCTTAAGTTTCAACATCTTAAGAACCAAATAAATTCTAACTTTTAAGCTTTTCCACTCTACTACTATTATTTTAAACGCAGCTGGAAAGCCACTGAAGATGTGTAACTTAAAATTCTTTTTAAAACTCAATTTAAAATTGTATAAAATCCCAGAGAAAATCGAAGAAAATGCCCAGAGAAAGGCCCAAGAAGTAACAGTATTAGACTCGCCCCATGTTCACCTGTCTCTCAGAATTAACCGCCCTGTAATTGTGAAGAAACCCCCTAAAGATAAAACCATTTTTTTGTCTATATATAAAAATCTTAAATTAAACCTAGCTTAGATGAATTTTTGTAAATTTTTGTAAATGATTTTTGTACATACGCAGCAGACCAACAAACATAAGCAACAACGACACATTTTTTTCCAAACAATTATTTTTTTTACGAACTTTTTTTTTGTGCCTAGTCTTAAGACGTCTATTGTGTGTAGTAATAATAAAGCGAAGAAAAAAAAAGAGCAATCCAGAACTGGCCTTTGTCTTGCCCGGCTAAAGGACTGCGCGAAGGACTCCCCGAAGGACCTTCCCTCCTCCTTTTCCTTTTTTTTTTTTTGCAATCCTGAGCCTAATGCGAGCTGACACACGAGCCGAAAAGTCGCTGTCGAAAATCTGAAGGGCTCGAGAGTGGAACTCGATAGGGGCACTCGAGGAACTGTTGCATTTTGGCCTGGGAAGCGGCCACTAAACTGCTCACTTAGAAATTGTTAACATTTGCCAAGGGCCTTGCTCGTCGTCGCAGTCGTCGCAGTCGTCGCCGTCGTCCTTGTTCTCATCCTAGTCCTGCCAAGAAGTGAGCCCCACTCCATAGCCCAATTGTGATTCCGCTTCCGTTTCCGCCAAAGACGCCGCTCGCCGTTCGAGTGTCGCAAACGTTTCTAATTGACTTGCCGGGAACGGAACCACCACCCAGCCTGGGAAATGCCACTCTAGAGATGGCAACGTGAGGCGGTCATGGGTTAACTTGATGGTTTCAGGGGTTGAGTGTTGAGCTTGCTTTGGAATAATTTATAGATTTATCCTTGTTTAATGCTTCAAAATCGATAGCTTCTAATCGATAGGAGTAACTTGCAATGATCAGTCATTCAAAATCCGTAACATTTTCATCTGCTATTCCCATAACGAGCTGGTTAAAAGGACTTTTTCGATCTAAAATCTTACAAACTGGCATATCTTAGTAAATCCCAAACTTTTTATAACCCTTTATAACCCCTATGGAAATCCCATCTCTAGCTGGTGGCAAGGCAAGGACCTACCCCGTCGCTGTTTGTTTTGCCTGTTTACATGCCGCTTGGCATTTTCGCTACTTTTATGACAATTTCAATTTCTGCACAGCGCCGCCTTGGTTAATGTTTTGTTAATTTATGGGGTTGCGGCTAAGCGAATTCAATTTGCGCTGCCTTCGAGTGGCACACACACACAACCCTCTCCTTCTCCCTATCCCTGATCCCAATCCCTATCCGGATCTGGATTCTCAACCAAACTGGCATCAATGTCGACTTTGGAACTCTGCGTGAAGTGCCTGCGTCGTCATCCAAGTCAAGTGTCCCTTTTTCCTCCTCTCTTTTTTTTCTGGAAGGGATTTTGTGCGTATCGACGGCCACTGTGGCAGTGCCACTGCCACTGCTACATCCCGTGGAAGCGTCTGCATAACGCCTCTGTAACAAATTGATTATTTGCCGCTGCGGTTTGAATACAATTTTGTGTTTTTTTTCTTTTCGCATCGATTTGAAATTTTTATGAGTAGCCCAAAAGAGCGACGATACTGAGTACGAGTGCCGAGTACTTATAAATTTATGAGTGGCCCGTCAAATCGCCAGACCGTGCGAAAGTTTTCACTGAGAACCCCGAACAGGACCAGTGGGAGGTTATATATAGTATAAAGTATAAATTATATATATTTATAGATTGGTGGTGGAAATTTGCATAATTTTGTTGTCTTCTCACAGTTGATTGGGCAAACAAAGTGGCTCCAAAACTCCAGCCAGCTAGTCCCAGAAATGGGAAGTTTTGGGGGTATGAAAATGAAGGAATTATGTCTTGTGGTTGAGGGAGAAGCTCAGTTTGGGGATATTTAATAAGCTATTTATTAACATTTATTGTTAATTTTATTCAATATTTAAAAACTATAAAAATTCCTCTGAAAGAGTTCCTATTTTTAAAGATAAAACCATTCTTTGTCTTACATTTTCCAACTAAGAGCTACTTTAAGCCACTTTCCTGACGCCATTCCCGATGACTTCAACTTACTTCTAAAATCGAACATAAATCCCTAACAACTCCAGTTAGTTCCGCTTAAAATACAACTTTATGACCATCTTTTGCTATGCAAATATTTTCCCTTTTAATCGTTCTAAATCTTCGCCCCATTTGTTAACAACAATTATTTGTATTTTTGCAAAAATCACAAAGACATAAATTTAAATGGTTATCCGATTCGTTGGGCTGTCTTTTAGCCTATTTAGGGTTAATGTTCTCGATACAGTAAGCATTTGATATCATGAATTTAAATGGCTCTCTTTGATTTTATCACTCTTTGCCATGATTAAGTCCATTGTGCGACTCCATTGGCCGCATGCGGCCAGTTCGTGCGTCTTTTGTGCATCCGAGTTGACAAAGTGCTTTCACACCGGAAGCAATTGCAATGCGTTTGCCGTCGTCCTTGCCACCCAGTCACCCAACTAACCAACCACCCAACCACCCACTCCTCTACTGAGCATCTTTTCCCCCCTCAGTTAATTGACAACTTTTTGGCCAGGCTGCGCCTTCGTTTTTTATCCCAAGTCCCATTCTCAGGCGACTTCTTTGTGAGGCTAATTTGTCACAGGATATGCCAGGATGATGTCAGGATGCCAGGATGCTGGCAGGCTGAGATGGAGGATGGGGCAGGCGATGCTGCTTCATTACACAGGCGATTTGTTGCGCACAAAGCGAGTATGGAGAATCGATGGGAATGTACTAAATACACTGAGGTAAAAGATGTCTATGAATCTAATTAGGATGTATGATAGGTTAATATCTTCAAATTGTTTTTAATCCAATATTAACTAACACTTTTTGATGCTTAATGATTGAGACTTTTCATAGTTCCCTTGATTTCGAATGATTTGCTATAGGAGTTAACCACTTTTTCTCTCTCTGCACCCATATAGCATCACCAAGTAGCACGAGACTTTCGGGAGCTTCCGTTATCAATAAATTTTTGCGCTTAAATGCGTGTGTTTATCGAATTAGATGCCGGAGGTCAGGAAGTCAATGGAGATTTATGGTCAACAAGAAGGGAAGCTGCAGAGGGGTGGGGCGTGGTTTTCCCCAATGCAAGCTTGTGTCAATGCCAAGATATATGTTTAGTAAATATATATAAATTTATACTTTTTCAGCGGACTGCCAATGCCTTTAAATTACTGTAAATGGGCACCGTGGCGCCAGGGATCAGAAAAATCGATTTGTCGGTCGTCGCCGCCAGTTAAACGCTGCCAATTTGCCCCTCTGTATCTCTCGAAAAAGTTACTTTTCTGATGGATCGGAGAGGTATCTCGATTCTGGACCTCAAAACTGCTCAACATGCAGCGCCAGCAGTGGCGGCTACTGGTTTTGAACCTGCCACAGCCACTGCCACTGCCAAAGCCGCCGGCCCAATTTGCATGCGTTCGATTTGCAATTCGCTCTGCAATTGCATTTGCGGTTTTCGGTTTTCGGTTTTTCAATCAATTCTAACTGTGCAAACTGCAAAAGGCAATCATCAGTCTGTGCATGAAATTGAAGGAGCTTAAATCAGCTGGGCCAAGGAGATATCCTGGAAAAGCCAACCCAAGTCAAGGATATAGGATGTAAACTTTGCCATTTCAACTTTCCTATTTATCACCTTTAAGCTTAATTCTTTAACTTGACTTCTTAGTTTCCCTCTGAAAGTCAAGGCTATTCCCTTCTAGCTTACGCCCAGCTTAGCATACCCTTTTATAGGGTATCCCAAAAACTTGATTCCTTCGTGGGGCACACGCCAATGTCAAAAGGTTCTCACAGCCGAGCGACGGCAATGATGATGCGATGTTGATGTCTCAAAAGGCGATCCCATACGTGGCGATGTGATATGGCAGTAAGTCGATACTTTCCCGTGGCATGGATATTCCTTGCTCTCCATATCTTTTTTGGGGCCAAGTGCCGTTAGCCGAGCGTGTGTGTGGTCTCAATATATATGGATATACCCCCCCATATATATATACACGAAAGGCGCCAAAAGTCAAGCTTTTGTTTGGACAGGGCCAGGTCGAGAGTGCGGCACGTGGCAGGCAAAGAAAAGGAAATACGATTACCTACTCATGCAGTTTGTTCTGTGCCTGTTTTTGGGGGCAACTGAAGTGTGACTAAACTGCGCCCGCGGCCATGTAAATCGTAAATGGTGCACAAATACTAAGAGCAAGTCCTGCCCGTTGCCGCCTGTCTGTCATTCATCCATTCAGTTCAGAGTTAGCCACTCAGTCAGTCAGCTAAAAAGTCCTGCTGAATGGACCTCAAGCTGTGCGGGAAAACAAAGGGCCGCGGAAAGCAAACAGTTGCCACATCGGTATCCAATTACTGCATTCGACTTGGGCTCGAGTTGAGCCAATTTCGAGGCACAATTGTGCCAAGTCAAGGTCCAGGAATAAGAACATACAACAACAATAGCAACAGCAACAAAAAAAAAAAAGGCAACAGCAGGCCCAATAAGTCGGCACGCAAAAGGCCCAAAGGCAAAAAGGACCAAGCGAGGGTTGATCGATCGACGGGGCGGGGCGGGGAAATTGGTACAGAATAAATGTAATGTAATTTTAATTTACAAAATGTTGTTTCTATAATTTGGAGTATTGGAAGTAATGTTTAGAATTTGATTAGGAAGATTATGTATGATAAAAATCATTGAAGTTAATACAAAAATGTAAGAAGAAGTACCTTTTAAAGACATTTTTACTAATTAAATCAGATTTAGATCAGAGGCTATCTTAAGAATAACCTTTCTTTTCAAATTATGTATAATATAACTTGAAGAGTTTAGTTTAACATTAAATATATACTATTGTAGACTATACAATTTTAAGATATTTACATATAAACATTGCTTAAATATTATCAGAACTTCAAACTAAGAAGAGATTATAAAAGAATCTCATAGGTCAACTTAAATAGCTATCAAATCCCAAAACAAGCTGCCTAAAATCAAACAAAAGTACTGTGTTAGAAACCTTCTAAATCCCCCCTCCGAAGTAATCTCATCGTGTGGCACTCGAGAAGCCCTCGATCAACCCCCGCGTGCTTGGCCATTGTTTGTCCATTCGTCCTTGGCTTTGTCCTGTATGCAAAATGGTAATTCCTGGCCTTAATTTGCCATTGTTGTGAGTCGCTGCTGGCAGATTGCTTTGCTCATTTGCTAATTTGACAGTTGTCAGGCGCGTCAGTTGGCATACGGACTTTTCAATTTCATTTTCATTTTCATTTCCATTTTCCATTTGCCTGTCGATTTTCACTAGCATTTTCCATTTCCATTTCCA